TCAAGTAGCTTTTTCAGTTGATTCTCTAGGATTCTCTAAGTCTACCATCATATCATCTGTAGAGTGATAGTTTTGTTACATCATTGCCTATTCTAATACCTTAAATTTCTTTTTCTTCTCTTATTCTAAAGCTAACATTTCTAGTACAATATTAAATAATAGTGGTGATAATGGGCATCCTTGCTTCAGCCTTGATCCTTTTGGAAAAGCTTTTATCTTATCCCCACTACAGACAATACTTGCTGATGGTTTTAGATAGATACTACTTATCATTTTATGGAAAACTCCATGTATTCCTATGATCTCTAGTGTTTTCAGTAGGAATGGGTTGCTGGAGTTTGTCAAAAGTTTTTTCTCCATCTATTGAGATAATCATGTGATTTCTATTAGTTTTGATGGCTTATTCAATTTCTTTATTTCAAATATGATTATTTAAGTATTGTATTTCCTCTTCTGTTAACTTGGGCAATTCATATTTTTGTGAATATACAAACATTTCACTTAGACTTTCTGATTAATTGCCATACAATTGGGCAAAATAGCTTCTAATTTTTCCTTTAATTTCCTCCTCATTGGTGGTGAATTCACCCTTGTCATTTTTATACTGGTAATTTAGTTTTTTACTTTCTTTTTTAAAATTAAATTAACCAAACATTTATCAATTTTATTTTTTATTCTAAAAAAACCCCATCTCTCAGTTTTATTTATTAATTGAACAGGTTTTTTTTAAATTTTCAATTTTATTAATCTCTCCTTTGATTTTTAGGATTTCCAATTTGGTGCTCCAGTGGGGATTTTTGATTTGTTATTTTTTCTAGCTTTTTCAGTTGTCTGCCCAATTCATCAATCTGCTCTATTTTATTCATGTAAGCATTTAGAGATATAAAATTTCCCCTAAGTAATGCTTTGGCTGCCTCCTGTCGATTTTGGTATGTTGTCTTATTATTTTCATTCTCTTGGATGAAGTTATTGATTGTTTCTATGATTTGTTGTTTGGCCTACTCATTGTTTAGGATTAGATTATTTGGTTTCAACTAACTTTTAATCCATCTTTTCCATTGCCCTTTATTAAAAGTAATTTTTATTACATCATGAATTGTAAAGGGTGCATTTAATATTTCTGCTGTTCTGCATTTGATTTTGACGTTTTTATGCCCTAATACATGGTTGGTTTTTGTGCTGAGAAAAAGATATGTTCCTTTCTATCGCTATTCAGTTTTCTACAGAGTTCTACCATATCTAACTTGTCTAAATTGTACTCACTTCCTTAACTTCTTTCTTGTTTATTTTGTGGGGAAGTTGAGGTTTCCTACTGCTGTGGTTTTGTTGTGTATTTCCTTCTGTAACTCACTTAACTTCTCCTCTAGGAATCTGGATTATATACCACTTGGTGCATATAAGTTTAATATTGATATTACTTCATTGTCTTTGGTAAGTTTTGGCAAGATGTAGTTTTTTCTCTTGTCTCTTTTAATTAAATCTAGTTTTGCTTTTTCTTTGAGATCAGGATTTGCTACTCATTAGTAGAGAGAAGGAAGTTAATAAGAGAATAAACAAGAGGACAACCTTGAAAGTTATATGTTGAATTTATTATATATCACTAAAATATGTATATATGTATGTGTGTGTGTATGTGTGTATTTAAAGCAAATTTTACATAAGATATTAATTCTTCCACATATAACCATCTTTTTTTCTGTTTTACCTTGTATGAGGAAATATTTTGTGTTTTATTGTTAAGAACTATTTTTTTTAATTGTAAAGAACAACCCCATGCCACCTCCTACTATTTTAAGAAGACATCATGATTTACATAGGAACTCCTGACAATTAGCAGAGAAACTGAGAACTTTTGTATCTTTAGTAAAGAAAAAAATCTAAAATAACTACACAAAAGTAATCATTTTCATATAAAAATAACAAAACAGGAGAAACTTACAGAAAATTGAAGTCCATTCCATAAATCTGTAGAACTCACAAGACATTTTGAAGTTAACCTAAAAACACACATTTGGGTCTTATATAGTTACATTTAGAAATATTCTTCACAGACAAAAATGAAGAAAAGTAATTAAAGACATGTTTATTATTCCATGTCAGGCCATGTTGATATGATGAAAAATGACTTTAACATTTAAATTAATTTATACATTTAGTGATGCAAAAATTAAACTACTAAGAGTTTATTTTTTGGAAATAGTCAACAGATAACATTGGTTTAGGGAACATAAGATATTGAATCACAAAGAAATAATCAGTAGGAATTAAGAAAATGTAAAATAAGCTTTCAAGTTGATTATGAGATAATCATAATATGAGTTCCTAAGTACTGGGTAAAAATGGAAAAAATAGATAAATGGAACAGACTAAAAAAAAGCAGATTAAAAATAAATGAATACAACAGTTCTTTATTAATTATATCTAAGAACATAAATGTCGGAGGAAAGACTGCTTATTAAATGACAAAAATTGCTGCATAAAATGGAAGGTAGTTAGGCAGAAATTACTTTTAAACCTATGTATAACACTATGTGTGACAATAAGGAACAAATGGATATGGAACCTAAATACAAATAAAGTTATGGAAGCAAGGAATGAAATAATTAAGAAAGGAAGAGAAATGGAAGGAAAGAAGGAAGGAAGGAAGGAGGAAAGAAGAAAATAGAAAGAAGTATACTTTTAATTGTGACTATAGTGAAAATTTTAGCACGTAAAATGTAAAGTATTTTACATGAATAATGTCAATACAACTAGAATAAGAAGACAAACAGTAGATTAGGAAACCATTTACAATAAATATCTCTGATAATTTGATATCCAAGTCATATATGAGATTGAGACCAATAGATGGCCAAAAATAGTACCCAATAATTAATTGGCTAAGGAGAATATGACCACTTTCTTATTCTCTAAAAAAATTTTATATCTTATGCTTGTGTAGCAATTTAATTTCAAAATAAATCTCATCCTTCCTTTGCCCAGTAGGTCATTGCTTGTAACAGAGAATCAAAAAGGAAAAAGAGAAAAATATTAGTGCAGTAAAAATAACCCAAAGCCAAGTCTCCCAGAATATGAAATTGGACATTTTTTCAAAAGAATCTCAAACCATCTACAACCATTTTAAAGATTGTTCCAAATGATTAATTATAAAATGAATGGAAATGAAAACAACTCTGAAGTTTAGCCTTATAACTCTCAAACTAGCAAAGTTATTTAAAGATAGATGCAGTTTATTTTTGAGAGACAATAGGCAGTGATGTGGTGTGGTGGATAGAGTGCTAGGGCTTAGAAAGACTTATCTTCCTGAATTCAAATCTGTCCTCAGACACTTGGGTCTGGGCATGTCACAGCAGGCAAGTCACTTAACTTTCTTTGCTTCAGTTCCTAATGTATAAAAGGAGCTGGAGAAGAAAGTGGCAAACCACTCCAATATCTCTGCCAAGAAAACTCCAAATGAGATCACAAAGAGTCAGACACGACTAAAAGGACTGAACAACAACAGCAGTGGGAAGACAGACACATATATACAGTTTCAGTCAAGCTGTGAATAGTCCATATATTTTTCAAAACAATTAGGGGTTAAGAAAGAGTTGTAAATATCTTGTGTATGTCCTTTTTCTCAATCTCATTACTTTGCCTGTAGGTCATGGAGGTCAAAGTCAGAAGGTACAGTTCCATATATAAGAAGTTACTTATAACTTTATTTCTAATTGTAGAAAACAAAACTTGAAATGACATGAATGCCCATCCACTAGAACATGGTTGAACAAATTATGATCATATAAATGTGATGAACTATCAATTGAACTATCAGAGATGAAGAATATGATAAATTCGGAGAAACAAAGTAAAAATTTTGTTAACTCATGTAGAGTGACATAAGCTGAACTAAGAGAACAATATGCACAATGACTATAGTAATGTCACTGTAAATCCCAATAATGTTTAATTTTGATGACCAATCTCAATCCTGGATAATAAATAATGAATCATTTCTCCTTTACTAGAGAAGCTGATAGGTAAAGATTTACACTCTGGCTCTGCTACCTACTTTCTACGCATGGAGCACTCACTTCAACTACTCAGTTTCATATTCTTTATCTGGAAAATGAGGGGATTGGATTATAAGGCCTCTAAAATCCTTTTCCTCTCTAAGTCTTTGAACTAGTTCCTATGAGCCAGTGAATCTGGGCAGGGAATGGGCTGAGTAAATTGAATATGGATTGTCAAAAGGACAAAAAACAGGGAAAATCTCTTTACCTAGAGCAGTAGTTCATGATAGAGATTTGGTGAGCAGAATATTTGGAAGACAGATGGAGGGACACATTAGTTTTGGGGAAGAATGTGTTCTCAACATCAAACATTTATTGAAAATTTAATTTAGTTAAGTTTTGGGAACTATTATTTAAGATATTGGGGAAGAAGAAATGATGGAAAGAGGCTGGTATCTTCAGGTGACCAAAGAGTACAGTACAGCTGTTAATGTTTATGTGGCTTCTAGTAGGAGAGGAAGGGGCAGGAGTTTGCCTGTACAATTACTGTATCTTGTGATTTCATTTCTGTTATTTTATCCTTCCATTGTATACTGACCCCACTGACTCATCCTTGGTACAGGGAAGAAACCTGGTGAAAAGACCTGAGTCAATGACATTTAAATGACTTTTACAATACAGGATATCAAAATACCTTGAAGGAGTCCAGGTTTCTGTAGGGGAATGAAATCATAAGATGGAAGATTACCCACTATTGTCATCACAATGTTATTTGTGGTGTTTCCAGGCAAGGTGACTTCAAAGGCTTTGGCTAACTTATATTTAGTGATGAATTTTTTGGCAGGAGTTGTTGCCAGCCCTCAAACTCAATCCAACCAAAACTTGGGGATGGGACAAATCTGGACATGAAAAATATCTTCAGATCAGGGACTGAATATGATGTTTCAAAGGGGATATTGTTCTCTGAGGTGCTTATAAGAGCAGTTGTTCTCGGTCCATGTAGCAAACGTAACATAGACACCATGGCTGCTACCAAGTGGCTACTTCTCCTTTTCTCAGTAGCCCTGTTGGGTCTGAGCTCAGCTCAATTCACTGATGAGGGTAAGTGGGGGACACAGAGAATCTAAGATCATATTAGGAGGTTGTAGGGATGGGAGTCAGGGTATAATTCAAGCGAAGTCATTTGGTGTTTTGCCACCCTCAGTAATTCAGGTACTTTTGTCTTTCTAGGATTAGATAAATGAGAAGTGGTATTCTTATTTTCCCTGTTCTAATGACTCCTCAATTCTCTTTTCTTCCCTGGGTTACAAGCCAAACCCCACCTATTCTTTAAACGCTATTTATTCTTTTTTTTTTTTAAGTTTTGCAAGACACTTTATTTTTTTACATTCTTATTTAACATATTTTCACATTAGTGATGTTGTAAGTAAGAATTAGAACCAATAGGAGGAACCACCAGAAAGAGGAAACAAAACTCAACAGAAGAAAAAAAGAAGCAAATGCTTCAATCTGCATTTGAACTCCTTAGTTCTTTCTTTGGATATGGATAGCATTTTCCATCATGACTCTATCTATTCTTTTCTTTAGTCATCTACACTCCTTGCTATTCCTCACGCACAATGTTCCATCAATCCATATTTTATCTGGCTCTTCCCCTCAGCTCCAAAACATTTGCTAGTCATCTTTACCTCCTAGAATTCCTAGTTTCTGTTAAGTTCTGTTTCTATCATCTTCTATAAGAAATCTACATTAATTTCCTGCCCTATTCTCTGTTCAGATGTTCATTTGCCTAAGAAATTATTATTATTTTTTGATATATTTTGCATTTTATTTCTATATGTATGTTTTTTTTCCCAAATAGAATTTAAATTCTTCCACATCAGGGACTATTTCTTCTTTCTTTGCACATCCAGCACTAAAAAAGTGACTGGTTCATAATAAACATTTAATAACTTTTTAATGAGTTGAACTGAATTATCTGGCACAAAATATTGATAAGAAAGTAAAAATTTTCTTTCTCTTTTTGGGACAAAATATGTATATATTGAGAAACACACAGATGAGTGAATTTATCATTACCCATTCAGATTGTGACACTGTATAAACATTCAGTTCAATTCTTCCCTTTACTATATGGACTCCTTTCTTCTTGTTAACGTGTTTATCCAATTCTTCCAAAGTACAGAAGATCTCTCTAAAATGGGACTGCTTAGGCAGAGACTAAATTATCCCTTATAGAGTTTTGAATTCCTTCTCAGTCATCAGGCCTTTTATTCTGGGTCAAGAGGAAGCTATGTCTTCATAATGTCAGTCAGTGAGCAAACGTTTATTTTTGGGGATTCCATACAATATTGGAGGTACAAAATTAGAGTGAAGCAGTTTCTGCTTTCATAGATCTGACATTCTAACCAGAGATGACACAAAAATGATTTTTTTAATTAAAAAGAGAACCTTATATGCAAAACTAGTCAAAACATTTCTAAACATATCAATATTAGGCATCCTGCCAAATAAAATTAGAGTGTTGAAATGAAATTTTATTATTTTTTAGCAGAAGTGTTGGCATCATATAGAGTTACCTTAAGTAGGCAAACATGATAATGTCAGCCATGTGGGATCCAGGAATTTTAAATTACATTAACATTGTACCTGTCTCATATATAGCTGTTATCAAAGGATGAAACCACAATTCAGTGACTAAGATACACATAGAGGGATAACTCATGGCTTTTGATAAAGCAAGCTGCCAATGTCTTCTACTGTTATTATTACATGATTCTATGCCAAGCCTATTCCTTGTTAATGACTAATATGATCTTCCATTATATAATCTCATCCAGGCTCACCTGGAGCCTGGGACCAGGCTGGATCTCTTAGATCTTTATTAGTTAGTTATCCCCAGTATAAGCTTGGGTCACCCTTACTCAGCACTACAGGGAAGGTAGTAAGGGCTCCATTCTTTGGACAATTAGCAGGTGAAATAAAGAATTCTCTCTACATTTGCTGCATATCAGGCCTTTTCCTTCATCTGACTTTTCTTTACCTGTGCTATCTCCTCTCAGAAAACAACTTACAGCAGGATAATGAAAACTATGGCAATGATGAAGATGATAATCAACAGCCTGGTCCTCAAGATCCCCCTGGAGATGATGAATCAGGAAGTCCACAGGGAGGCCCTACAGGTGGTCCACAGGGAGGCCATCGAGGCAGCCAGCAGGGAGGTCCTCAAGGTGGCCAGCAGGGAGGCCCTCTAGGTGGCCAATAAGGAGGTCAACCACTCTCCTCAACACCAAGGTACTTCATTGTTCTTATCAGTGAACCAATGTTTTCTAATTCAAAGAAGGAGATATCTTTGAGTTATTCAGCTCATGAATTAAGCTTCACTGTCTCTACAGGGAATACAGGAAATCTTAACAACTTCTGAGAAAATCTTTGTCTTTGTTTGAATATGTACTGGCTGTCAACTGACATCACATCAATCCCAAACCTTCTTTAGAGCTCTTTCCTCTTTTCTATAAGTCTGACTCTTCTTCATTCTTCTTTTATCTGAACTATTTGTTTCCCTTTGATTCTCTCTGGCCTATTCTCCCTGATAGGGACAGAGAGAAAGGGATAGTGACAGATAATGTGAGAGGCAGATGGAGATAGAGATATAGAAAGAAGGAAGGAGAGAAAGAGAGATAGATATGAAAATATCACCTATTCTTTTCACCCTCTCCTTCATGCTACTTGTACTTATTCCTGCCCAGGATCTCTCTCCAAATTTTGTTTATTTTCTTTTTAAAATTGCAGCAATATATGACTTTGTCATTGCCATTGTCATTAGCCAAGGAACCAAGTCAAGCAAAGTTCATTTTCTATAAGCTTTTCCTTTGTTGTTTCAGTGCATGAAAAGGAAGATGTGCATTTGGGAGGTGCCCTTCAAGTCCTCATGTGGACCCAGATATTGGGACAGTACATACCTCTTGATCTTTTCCACCCTTATGTACAATATCAATAAATACACTAGTAGTTAATCATTGACTCCCCCTTCTCTTTATGGTGCTTTGTGTCACTCAACTTTCAAGTTTCTGGGTTCTAGATACAGGGACAGAAGTATGGTCCTGAGCTACTTGGTGCTTGGTTGATTCCATATTATTCTGTGGATGCACAGCACTGACCTGGACTTAGTGCCTTAGTCCTCAGTCCCCAAAGGTTTCCTTTCTTAAGGTTGGATGGGACCATCCATATAACAAATATTTTTGAGCCCCTTTAAAATTCATAGTACTTGAAGGATATCAAGAATAGATTGTTGAGTTCCTCAACTTCCTTTATAATCTTTAATCATTTCCTTAGAATGGAGTCTGATTTTTTTTCTTTTCCTATTTTTCTGAAAAGGACTAAAAAGCTAAGAGAAAATCTGACAACCCCACAAACCATTCCCAATCAGTCAAGGAACATTTAATAAGTGCCTACTCTGTTCCAAACACTGTAGTAAGCATTTAGATGTAGAGAAAGTCAGAAAACAATGAAAGAAACCAAAATGAAACCAAAAAGAAGCAGTCTCTGCTCTCAAAAAACTGACAGTATAATGGTAGAGACAGCATTCAAACAACTATGTATGTCAAAAGAGTTTAAATGTGGTCTAGACTTGACTAGCCTCTAACCTGGGAATACCCAGGACTGAACAGGGCAGGCTAGAGGCGGGTGTGTCAGGAATCAAGTAGTGGTTTAATAAATTTTACAGTGAGTAAGACAAGTTTGTCTCTGGAAGTCTCCCTCAAGAGAGGGGCTTCTCTCGCTATGCAACACCAGAATTTACACACCTTAAAAACCCACAAAGGGGTGGGTCACAACACAGTCATTCTTAGGTCTTGAAATAGTTGGCATTGGCAGGCCCATTCATGCAGACATTTTGGGGGCAATACAGTTGCTCTTGATTCCTGTGGAAACAGTTCTTAAGTTGATTGTCTCAAGGTGGTTCAGTCTTGTGATTATTCAGTGGGATACAACCCAGAGTTAACATAATGGGAATAGGAGTGTAGTAGTCTCTTTTTTGGTTCACTTGGCTGGTACAAGCTCAGGAATTTGTGAATTCTTAGCATGTCAAAGGTTCTTAATTCATCACTTTCTTCTGCAGTGTGTTTGCTATAGCTATGGCTCCCAAGCTAGAATCTCCTGGGAAGTAAAGTCCTACCAATCTAGATTGTACAATCATTACAACATATCATATCAATTAATATGAGAATCATAAATTCTCTGACATTCCCTCCTTCTGGTCAAAGGCTGTGAGGGCCTTGCAGACAGAGGGGGACCATCCACCTGAATCATGATTTTCTTTTTGTTTAAGGCAGAAGTGAAAAGGTAAGGTATAAGGTGAATATCAAGGTAGATAACAAAGCAAATAAGGAGAAGAAACATTGGAGTAGTGAGGGAGTATGCTGCCAAGGTTTCCAGGCAACCAGGATAATAAGTCAAAAGAAGCTGAGAGGGAGACATGCTTCAGAATGTTTTGGCCCCTATTCCATAAATCTTCTTCTTACCTGTTTAGAGCACTAAGGTGCTCCTCTATGAAAGAGGACTGGTTAACTTAGAAACAACATTCCTTCCCAGTGAGGGCACAAGCCCCTCCTTGCTCAGCAGTTATGGTGTCCAGCACCCAGTGATTTTGCAGTACCATGAGGGCAAGTGAATCAATCTGGATTTGGAGGCTGGTGACCAGCCTTCCAGTACACTGCAGGCCAGTGGCTAACGTTGTGGAGAGGTTCCTGGAAGACTACTTAAAAAGTGGCTGTGCTACCATTCAGGGACCAGTTAGCCACCAGCCCTTCCCCAATGGCAGGAAAGCTAGATTCTGCTGTTGGTTGAGGGGCAATGTTAAAGGGAGAGAAATTTCAGCAGAGTGGTTCTCTGGGAATAGGGATTATTTGGGTATGATATAGACCTTTCCAGATATAGAATAGAGCAGAATAACATCAAAAGTCCTAAGAAAGGGGGCAATTCAACTGCGCAGGTGTGGATATTAGGGGATGAAACCTAGGTGAAGTGAGTGAAACTCAAGGAGTAGAGTGCCTCAGGCATGGGAACAAGAGGTCATTCTGAGATTCCCAGGCTATCCCTGAATTTGAATAGATGCCTTTACAGTTGCCTTTATTTGGGACAAAGGGCAATGGTCTGATACCTGATTTGTTAGGGCAGGCTCTCTCACTCCACTTGGTACAGGGGACGTGTGTAGTGTTATAAGATACTCTTTCAGGGAAGTCTGTGGCTACAGAAGCTGGCCAGAGGAATCAAGTGAGGCATATAGGGAAGTAACCCATAAGGAGTTCAGGATGAAGGTAGAATTACATTGCTGGGGATTTAATGATCTAAGGAGGGGGCCTGTGTTATAACTTGTAGTGAGGATGAATACTGCAGCCTGAGTTTCTGGAGAGACTCTCATGAGTAATTAACCCTGCAGGTAAGGTCTAATATGCTAGGAGCCCTAAATTCTCTGGATAAGTTCTCTATTTCTTAGTTAGGGTGCTCCTTTTCCCCATAGGCAGATGTACTTTCAGGTGAGACTGTGGGAGTATCATGAGACTAGGGACAGAGGTGAAGATAGGGGATATGAGCTGCTGTCATTTTGGAAGTTGCTACTAGGTGGAGCAGACAGGGAGTGATTGGCTTCCCAGCCTTCGGTGGAGCAGGGGTTTTTGTAGCATACTGTCTCAGCCAGTCAAATAGGACCCTGCCTTTAGGATCATGATCCAGGATTCTAACACTGAGGCAAGCTAAAGCTTGAAGGCCAGCACTCTGAATAACTTGCCCAAAGTTTAGTTAAATTGATTGTTTTAGAGAAACCTTACCCTGGCCTTCTGATTGGGTGGTCCTGTTGTGGGGGGGGGAGGCAAGACATTTAATCCTGTTGATCAGAATAAGGAGGTCAGGACTAGAATAATTATCATAAGCCATACAGATTTGAGGTAAGAACAGCATGAAAATGGAAGGAAGAAACCCACAAAAATGAGAAGCCAGAAGCTGCTACTTCCCAGAAACATCTAGATTTGCACTAAGAGGACAGTAGTAAGACAGAAAAGGCTTAGTTCATAGAGGGAGGAACTACACACCTCAGCCCAGGTCTAGTCTTTTGGGTTAGTGGTCTGCATCTATTGTGTTTTGCTTCTCAGCCTGGGAGTCTTGGAATAGTTGTCTGCCTCAGTTGTCAACTGCTTTGGATCCCAATTGTATTTTCAAGATCAAGTCACAAGTAGATTCCACAATCAAGGTGGGCAGTGTTGCCTTTTTGAGATACGACAGGTGGATCCAGGACTCTACTTCCCTGAGTTTGACAGCAGTGGAGGTGGTGAGCAGGACTTCAAAAGGACCTTTCTACCATGGTCCCAAGGAGTTTGTTTTATTGGGGGTGCTTCCAATAAACCCAGTCACTGAATTGTATCAGTAGCCCAGTCTCATTTGGAATTCCTAAAGAATGGGACTGTTAGACAAATTGGTGAGTTTCTGAGATTTTCTGTGCCAACCCAGTATACTACCATAGGAGGGAGTGTTTGGCTGCTATGTGCATGGGTGCAGTGTCATAAGGCATCCTGTTACTATCTCATAGGGATTGAGCTTGACCAAGGGGATTTTCTGTCCTCCAGAGACTGCTGCAGTGCAACAGGAAAATACTTTCACCCACCAGGAGAACATACAGACCATAACCAAAGCATATTTGTAACCATGGGCAGGTAGCAATCAAATGAAGTCAACCTGCCAGATTTTGAAGGTGCATCTGAAAGAGGAAACTGCCCACAAGCTGGCTTCAGAGGCTTGGACGCATTGTCTCTGGGACAGGTGGAAGGCATCTTTTAAGGGGTGGTGGCAGCCAGGTTAAATTCCTCCTCCAATATTTTTGGGCAAATTCTACTAGCTTGTTGGGTCCCCAGTGGCTGAATAAATGAAAATTCCATCATAGGGAGTGATAAGTTCCTGGGGAGTACTCTAAGTCTGTTTGGGCTGACCCGTAGTCCTGTAGTCTTATTAAGTATACATCTCTCCTTTTTAACTTTCCCCTGCCTCACAATGAGCATCCTTTTCTGGGCTATAGCAATTTTTTCTTTTGTTAGTCCTTCAGGTGGAGATGAGAATGCTATTAAGGCTCTGCCTTTGGCTCAGAGTGATAGTTCCATAAGGGCTGGAAGGAAGTAGAGTCCAGGTATATTGATATGTTTCCCAGGTAAGAGCAGAAATTAACTGGCTTTTGGGGCAACTGGGATTGAGAAGAAGGCACTACAAAGGTCAACTACCAGGAAGTGAGAAGTCTAGGGTAGTACAAAGTTAAAAAGAGTGTGCTCGTTGTGGACTACAGGCATTCTGGGACATTAGCCAATATAGGAGAATAAGCAGTAAATCACTGTAGCTCTACCATATTTATCTCCAAACAACCAAACAGCCATGGACTAGCACCCTGGAACAAATTCTGGAACAACTCTGGAAGCAAAAAGATGGGGTTTATCAGTCTTTTTGCCTGGGAGACTTGGAAGATAGACAAGAAAGGTCCATCTCACTCAGGTAAAAGGGCAGTGCATTTGAGGACAGGAAACAAAGGAAGCCAGCAGCAAGCCCTGCCCCTCTATCAAACTAGAAAGATCCTGAGTCCCAGGGTGGTAGAGCAGGCAACTGCCAACACCAAGACTCTTATATGCCTTTGTTTAGTGAGGGGTACAGGCACAATCCATCTCTGAGTACCACCGTGTTTCAGCACAGCCCCAGACTGAGATATCCTTGAGTGGCCTTGAAGAAATGCAGAAAAATCGCACTGGGCCTCAGCACATGGCAGAAACCACCACTAAGACCACAGCTCAGCACCAGGAAAGCTGCCAGACCCCTAGGGCCTCCTGCAGAGCCAGCCAACCACCACCTCACCCCTGCAAGGGAACACTAGACAGGAGGGTCTATCTTGGGCCTCAGGGCAACATCAGTACAACACCAGATAAATAACCAGGGTCTGCAGCCACTAGCACAAGAAGATGGAAACAGTGT